TCGGCCTCCCAAAGTGCTGGGATTACAGGCTTGAGCCACCGCGCCCGGCCTTATTCATGTATTTAAAATAGAGATGGTGGCCTGGTGTGGTGGCTCATGCCTGTAAACCCAGCCCTTTGGGAGGCCTAGGTAGGCCAATCACTTGAGGTCAGGAGTTCATGACCAGCCTGGCCAACATGGCGAAACCCTGTCTCTACTAGAAATACAAAAATTAGGCTGGATATGGTGGTTCACGCCTGCAATCCTAGCATTTTGGAGGCCGAGGCAGGAGGATTGCCTGAGCTCAGGAGTTTGAGACCAGTATGGGCAACATGGTGAAGCCCTGTCTCTACTACAATACAAAAAATTAGCTGGGTCTGGCAGCGTGCACCTGTAGTTCCAGCTACTTGGGAAGCTGAGGCAGGAGAATTGCTTGAACCCAGGAGGTAGAGGTTGCAGTGAGCTGAGATCATGTCACTGCATTCCAGCCTGGGTGACAGCAAGACTCCTCCATCTCAAATAAATAATAGAAAAGAAAGGAAAATAGGGATGGGTCCTTACTATGTTTTGGCCAGGCTAGTCTCATACTCCTGGACTCAGGCAATCCTCTTACCTCAGTGTGGGGATTACAGGCATGAGTCACTGTGCCTAGCTAATTATTATTATTTTTTTTTAGAGATTGGGTCTCACTATTCTGTCCCGGTTGGGGTACAGTGGCTACTCACAGGCATGATCATAGTGCACTAGAGCCTCAAACTCCTGGGTTTGCACAATTCTCCTCCCTTACCTGCACCTGCCTCCCAAGTAGCTAGCAATAAAGGCATGTGCCACCGTGCCCAGCAAAAAATAAACTTTCTGTTTTAGAATATTATTATATTTATAGAAAAATTGTGGGTTGGGTATGGTGACTCACATCTGTAATCCCAGCACTCTAGGAGTCTGAGGCAGGAGGACTGCTTGAACCCAGGAGTTCAAGACCAGTGTGGGAAATAGAGAGATCCCTGTCTCCATAAAATAAATAAATTTTAGGCCGGGCGCGGTGGCTCAAGCCTGTAATCCCAGCACTGTGGGAGGCCGAGGCGGGTGGATCACGAGGTCAAGAGATCGAGACCATCCTGGTCAACATGGTGAAACCCCGTCTCTACTAAAAATACAAAAAAAAAAATTAGCTGGGCATGATGGCGTGTGCCTGTAATCCCAGCTACTCAGGAGGCTGAGGCAGGAGAATTGCCTGAACCCAGGAGGCGGAGGTTGCAGTGAGCCGAGATCGCGCCATTGCACTCCAGCCTGGGTAACAAGAGCAAAACTCCGTCCCAAAAGAAAAAAAAAAAATTAAAATAAATAAATAAATAAATAAATTTTAAAAAAAGAAAAAGAAAAATTGTGAAGAAAGTACAGGGAGTTCTCACATACTGTACATGTAGTTTCCCCTGTCATTAATATATTAGTATGTGTAGGCATCCTTTTATTTATTTTTCCCAATAGATTCTTAGCTTTCAAAAGACAGAAATTTGGGACAATTCATCTTTTAATTTTAATTTTAATTTTTGGAGATGGAGTCTCACTCTGCTGCCCAGGTTGGAGTGCAGTGGGGTGATCTAGGCTCACTACAACTCCACCTCCCTGGTTCAAGTGATTCCCCAGCCTCAGCCACCTGAGTAGCTGGGATTACAGGCACCTGCCACCACGCCCAATGAATTTTTATATACATATATATATATATATATTTTTTTTTTTGAGACGGAGTTTCACTCATGTTACCCAGGCTAGAGTGCAATGGCGCGATCTCGGCTCACCGCAACCTCCGCCTCCTGGGTTCAGGCAATTCTCCTGCCTCAGCCTCCTGAGTAGCTGGGATTACAGGCACGCAACACCATGCCCAGCTAATTTTTTGTATTTTTAGTAGAGACGGGGTTTCACCATGTTGACCAGGATGGTCTCGATCTCTTGACCTCGTGATCCACCTGCCTCGGCCTCCCAAAGTGCTAAGATTACAGGCTTGAGCCACCGCGCCCGGCCTGAATTTTTATATTTTTAGTAGACATGAGTTTCACTACATTGGCCAGGCTGCTCTCGAACTCCTGACCTCATATGATCTGCCTGCCTCGGCCTCCCAAAGTGCTGGGATTATAGGCATAAGCCACCATGGCCGGCCTAGTTTTAATTTTAATTTTATTATTTTGAGACAAAGTCTCACTCTGTTACCCAGGCTGGAATACAGTGGTGTGATCTCAGCTCACTGCAACCTTTGCTTCCTGGGTTCAAGTGACTCTCCTGCCTCCGCCTCCCAAGTAGCTGGGATTACAGTCACACACCACCATACCTGGTTAATTTTTTGTATTTTTAGTAGAGACAGGGTTTTACCGTGTTGGTCAGGCTGGTCTTGAACTCCTGACCTCAGGTGATCTGCCCACCTCAGCCTCCCAAAGTGTTGGGATTACAGGCTTGAACCACCATGCTGGGCCTCATTTTTTTTTTTTTTTGAGATAGAGTCTTACTCTGTTGCCCAGGCTGAAGTGCAGTGATGGGATCTCAGCTCACCACAACATCTGCCTCCTGGGCTCAAGCGATTCTCCTGCCTCAGCCTCCCGAGCAGCTGGGATTACAGGTGCCCACTACCATGCCTGGCTAATTTTTGTATTTTTAGTAGAGACGGGGTTTTACCATGTTGGTCAGGCTGGTCTCAAACTCCTGACCTCATGATCTGCCCACCTTGGCCTCCCAAAGTGCTGGGATTACAGGCGTGAGCCACCGCGCCCTGCCCGGCCTCATCTTTTATCCTTAGTATCTAGCACAGTATTTGGAACCTAATAAGTAAATATTCAATTAATGCTTGTGGAATAAACAAATGATTTTTTACATTTAGCTTCTCTGATCCTCTCAAGAAGACTATCATTCCTTTAGGGAAAGAACTATGTCTCACACTTTTGGGGTTTTTTTTTCCTGAAACTCCTGAGCTTCAATCTCATACTTTTGTCTTTGCCCACTCTGGACTAAACCCAGAGAGCTCAAGGCACATTGCTGGCTGACCAGCAGGACAGCAGCAGTATAGGGTGGAGGTTCAGAGTAAGTAGGAGGACAGTAGGGCCAGAGCTTGCATGGGTGGGAAAGCACATCCCAGGGGCCCTCTCTGCTACTCACAAGAAGGCCTCCTTCCTGCGGGACTCCTTCAGTGGCTCGTCCTCTTCGGCATCATGGCTGGAAGGTGTGTGGGGTTCCGCTCTAGCGAAGAGAGAGGGAAAGTTAGGGCAGGGCTCAGGGAGGTAAAATGAGGTTGAGAAGGTCCAGACCCATAGCCTCACCTCCTGTAAGTGTCAGAAGCAGCAGCATAGTGAAGGGGAGAGCAGCCTTTACAGTCGGCCTCGTTGACATCTGCCCCAGCAGTCACCAGTGTTACTGCACACTGGTAGCTACCGTTAGCAGCTGCATAGTGCAGTGGGGTCCTGGGGAAGAAGTGAAGGAGGGTAGGGAAGAAGATCAGAGACAGATCCAAATGCAATCTGATGTGCAGCCAAATGCTGCTTTGTAACATTCTCCTTACTTACTCTCCAGTTTCCACCCCTTCCTCCCTCTACCATTTGTTTCTCCTTCAGGTATTCCCTATGTATACCCCTGCACATTAGCATACCTGCCAAATTTGTCTCTCCTCCTCAAGTCAGCTCCACTGCTCAACAGCAAATTAAGACATTCAACATTCCTAAAAGAAAGATGTGTTAACAGAGTTACAGCCTCAAAAGGAAGCCACAGGCCCAGGGTGGGGCTAAGGAAGGATGGAACTAGCAAGCCCTTTCTGCTGTGACTGTTCTATGGTGAGAGGGAGAATAGATCTGGGCAGGCAAGAATGAGGGGCTCAGACCTTCCCAGCTCCCTGCTTAAAGCATGGGAGACAGAAAGAGAACTCACCCTCCAGAAGCAGCAGCATGAAGACAGGTACGGCCAAGGTTATCAGGTGTATTGATGTCAAACCCAGCTGAAAGGACATGCTCGTTGCTGAGTGAAGACACAATGCTGTACAGCTGACCTGGAGGCACAGACCAGCCACAGGTCACATCTGAGTGTTCAGCAGGGAGGGAAAGGCCTTTGCTCTCCTATACACCTGACAATCCCCAGCCCATCAGCACATACCTGAGGAAAGAAGCTTACGACAACAGTCAGAGAATCCAAAGAGAACAGCTAAGTGCAGGGGGAACATGTCATGGATACCACGCCTGGAGAGAAGTTGAGGGACTCAGTCCTTGGGTCAAGAAGGGACCAGGTAAGACCTCTTCTGTGACCCACCAACACCCTATAGTCAGGGGAGGAGGTTCTCCAAGGTGCCCTCTGGGAAACGTTTCTGTGCCTCCATGGCTGATGTGAGCAGTCTGTGCAGATCTGGGCAGCCCCGAAGTGGAGTCAGGGCCCTGACTCACCGGGCAGTATCTGCGCCATTGGTCATGAGGGTGCTGATGAGCAGCTCGTGTCCGTAGCGAGCAGCCACATGCAGTGGCGTGTTCCCAAATTTGTCGGCACAATCAATCTCACTGCCTGCGAGGGGATGCACACACATAGCTCAGGTGGACCTCAGGGATAAGACCACTCTCATGAACTAGCCACCATATGAGTGCCTACTATGCATCAGGTGCCAGGCCCCGCATTCTGCATGTTTTATCCTGTTTCTAAGCCTTAGGAGACTGTGGCCATTTCCACAGGTCCCTTGGTCAGAGTTCCAAGGGCCTATCCTACTGGAAGAGGGTGGGAGAAAGAAGCTAGAGAGATTTTAGAAATGAGTTCCTTGGGGGAAAAGGGGAAGACAGCACAAAGTTTCCCAGGTCCATACCATTCTGGATGAGGATCTGGGAGCGTGTGAAACGGCCATGGATTGCAGCCATGTGCAGAGGACTTTTCCCTTCTTTGCTCTGTGGAAACATGGTAGGGTTTTTTTTTTGTTGTTTCTGTTTTTCCAGTGCAAAGCACAGAGAATGCCCTATCCCCAAGGACATATCTCTAAGGACAAAAGGGGTATATGGCACCTTCTTAGCCCACTCTCTCCTGAGTCCCTGGCGAGGTCTGATCACCCCAGGAAGCAAGTGGATAATTCCCCAAGAAAGCTATCCAGATACAGTCAGGACCCCAAGAGCCAGGTTTCGCTCCCCACTGGTCTAAGCTTTATCCCTTCAGGCACCTGGTAGTTGACATCAGCCCCGTTATTAACCAACAGCTCCAAGCAGAGCGCGCCATTGGTGGAGACTGCAGCCACATGCAGCGGCGTGAAACCCTTGTCATTTGGCTGGTTGACATTGGCTCCGGCATTCACCAGCTCAATAGCCACAGCATCCTGGCCCAGGTAGCAGGCGATGTGCAAAGCTGTGTTTCCAAAAGCGTTGGGCTCATCGATCTGGATATTCAGGGGTGAGAGTAAGGCGGTATCAGTTTAAGCAAAGTAGATGCCAGCACCTGTAGCCTACAGATCCCAGAAATCCAACGACTGCCTCAGTTCCCCTTGGATTTCTGATCCAAGGTACTAAGGTACTGAGGGTACTATGGCTAAGGTAAGCATTATTCGGACCCTCTCTACCACGCCTTCCAAGCTCCCAAAACCACACCAACAACCCAATACCTCATATCTCCGTAACAGACCCTATAATCTCCTACTTCCTGCCCAGAGTCCCCAATCCCAGTGCTGAGCGCCATGACCTCCGCTCCCATCCGAAGCAGGTATTTCACCACTTCAATCTGGCCACTGGCAGCAGCTGTATGGAGCAGCCCATAGCCCTTGCGGTCCTTGCAGCCGAGGTCTGCTCCCCGTGCCACCAGCAGTTTCAGGACCTCCAAGTGCCCTGAGCAAAGAGAAGACATTCTCAAGGAAGTAGAAGGTAAACTCTAAGGCCCTGTGCACCTCTCTTCAAAGGCTGAAACCCCGTAACCCTGCCCTAGAAATCCTAAATATCAAATTTATTTATTTATTTATTTCATGTAACAAGAACCTAGTTTTAGCTGAACTAAATGTCAAATTTCTGATTTTCCCGTGTGTTCTCTCTCACCTAGGAAGGCTGCCCAGTGCAGAGGCTGCCGCTCCTTTTTGTCACAGACATTCAGGCTGGCTCCCTTGTTGAGAAGCAGGTTCACTGTCTGTATCAGGATATGAAAAATACCTGTTCAGAGCCAGATTCATGTCCTCAACCTACCTAAGAGCAGAGACCTCATCACCTGAAAAGGTTGAGGCAGCCTAATGTCTTTTTCCGTGAGCAAAACTATCTGGAGGACTCGAGGGAGCAGCAGAAGCAGACACTAAGGAGGTGATACTAGAGAGATTTGGAACTTTGAGGGAGACAAAGGAGTCTCTTCAGGTGATTTGGTGGTTCTTAAACTCTTGTCAGTCTTTGCAAATGTGCTGAAAGACATGGACTCTCTTCAGAAAGGCGTGTATGCAAATATTTTCCACACAAATTCCAGGTTTTATCAACTTCCTGAACTCCAAGTTAAGAATTTTAATCTAGTCTAACTGTTCATTTAGTGTGTGAGCTCAAGTGTTTATATAACCATCCGGGCTGCTTCTCCTTCAGGTTTGAGGACCCAGAAACAAGGAAAGGTAAGTAGGAAGGTAAGAAAAGGGAAGGGAAGGTGGGAACAGTCCTCACCTCAAGATGCCCACTATGCACTGCATGGTGCAAAGCACTGCGTCCACTCCTGTCAGCCACGTTGAGGCTGCTCAACAGGGGTGCCAGAGCCTCAGCACACTTGGTGGCCCGGTTGGCAGCAGCCACATGCAGCGGTGTCTGCCACAGCTTGTCCCGGGCATTCACATCTGCTGAATGTGCCAGCAGCAGCCCCAGCACCTTCTGTTGAGGGGCAGGGGACAAAAGAGAGAATGGGAGCAGGAGGTAAAACAACAGGAAATAGAAGGAGGAATAGGTCAGCATAGCATATATGGCCCCATTTTCCCAAGCACAGAGTCTCTTCTCATTTTTCCAGCATACCTAGACTCTCAATACCTACTTCCCATCTTCTGGATCTTCTTAAGAGCTTAAACTCTTCCTTACCTTGCTGAGGAAAACAGGGACCCTTTGCTCTTCTTCTAGCCACCTGACTTGTTAACCTAGACCCTGAAAATCTTCACTCACACTGAAACATGTTCTTTTTTTGCAAAATAAAATTCTTCACTCACACATACATCCATTCCCAAACAAATCCACACATGCAGAGCCACACATCCCAACCCCCTACTTCTAGGAAAACTAAATGCTCTTGTTACGTCTTACCCTGAACACGTGGCCTCCTCATAGGCACGAAAATTATTTTCAGTATGTCAGTAAGCAAACAGACACCGGTTCCTTTGCAAAACCCAGGGTAAAATTCCCCTTCTAACCACTACCCATCTCATTCTCACTGGTCTTGGCCCCTCCCCCTGGTGGCTGGAGCCAGGGAAGTGATGAACTGAAGAGGAGGTCCCCCTTTCCCTCTCTTCAGGGCTGATGGGAATAGGGTTAAGGACTCAACTGATGAAATATGTTTGGCCCCTGTGCTGTCAACTTTCAAGTTACTTGAGGGCCAAGGATGCAACAGATTATTATACCCATCCCCCATCACAAGGAAAGAAATCTCAGTGCCCAGAGGGGGATCAGACTCAAGGTGGCCCCCCAGGGAGAGATGAGTCACTCAGGCCTGGCAGCAGGGCCCCCGCAGTCTGCCAGCCCAGTGTTAAGCTCTCCCTGAGTCACATCAGCTGGCAGCACTCAGCCCCCTTACCAGCCAGTTCTAGGGGTAGGAGGGAGGGGCCAAGATTTGATCTCCTCCCTACCTGGGGTAGAACAGCTTGTAGGGCTGAGAACTGAGGCTCCTTAACCCTTAACCTCCACCTTTAAGCAACTCATCCTTTTTGAAAGGGTGAAAGAAGGTGAGGGTGCATACCTCGTTTCGGGAGGCAGCAGCACGATGAAGAGGGGTCAGCCACAGTGTGTCCTTAGCGTTGACATTAGCACCTGTGGGGATATAATTTCCTGTTTCGATGGAAGGCGGGGAGGGGGTGGGAAGAAAGCCAGTAATCAGGCCAGAAAATCTGAATGGAGCTGGAGTCTCGCCTGGACCGAGCAAGGGAGACCAATCCTTGAATATCAAAAAAGACTCCTCCCCTTCCTTCCCTCCCTATGTGCCACACCTTCTAGCTCCCCACTTTCACCTGACATCAGTAGCAACTGGAGGATGGGGACATCGCCTACGTAGGCAGCAGCATGCAATGGAGTTCGCCTCTCTTGGTCCTGGGAAGGCAGAAAAGAGGGACTGTGGGCGGGGGATGGGGGGGCTATCAAGGACCCTAGCCCAAGCCTCAGAGCTCCAGGCCCTTCCCCACAACCTCTTCCCATAGTTTCTGCAGCATCCTAAGTCCCGGTACTGGGAGTCAAAGGCAAGCACCTAGGGAGGGTGGAGTCAGGGCCAATGGGCTGAGAAGCCGGCTCCTTTTTCCAGGAGGGGTGGGGGCGCTGCAGACTCCGGTGGTTCAGAAGAGAACAACGTTCCTGGGCATCCCCAGCCCAAGTGATCTGGGCTCCAAGCCTGACCTGCTCTCCATCCCCAAATGCAGAGTAGGCTTTCACTCCAGGATGGAAAGAACTGCGGCCTCTTCTGAGCAGAGGAGACACGGAGCCGCCCCACCGGTGGGGAGGGGTCCAGAACACGGGAGCCAGGATTCCGATCTCGCCATCCTCCCTGCTCCCAACTCACCAGCACATTGATGTTCTCCTTCTGCGAGAGTAGGGAACGCACTTCCTCCACATCTCGGCTAAAGATGGCCTGGACCAGGGGCGGCTGCAGGGAGAACCGGCATTCAGGGAGCGGGCTGGAGCCGGAGCGCAACCGGGGTGGGGGTGGGGGAGCACCCAGGTTTGTGGTGGGGCGTCCGTGGGGGGCCCCGTTCTGGGGATTCCAGCTGCAGCGGGCTCCCGCGGTGCCTCCGCCGGTTGCCAGGTCCCCAAGGACACCGGCTCGGTAGAGGGGAGCGCGGCATGGGGCGGGGCGGGAGCTGCGGAAGCCCCGGGCTCGGGCCCAACCTAGGCCGCACATCCCCGGGCTCGCGTGGCGGCGACGCCGAGCCCTGGAAGGAAGAAGAGGGGAAGGGCAGGAGGGCTGACCTGGTCCGTGATGCTGAGGATCCCCATGGCCCGGCCCGGGCTCCGTCCGCATCGAGCTCCCGGCGGCGGCGGCGGCGGCTCCACCGGGGACACGGAGCGGCCCAGGCGGCGGCTGCGGCGGCGGCTGCGGGGAGAGCGCGGCCCCGCCTACCGGGGGGCGGGCGAGCGGGAGGCCGCAGCGCTCCCTGGCGGCGGTCCTGGGCCCGGCGCTCCCCGCGCAAACTGACCCGGACCGCAGCACTCTCCGCCCCACCCTGGCGGCCCCAGCAGCCCTGCACCCCCGAACTCGCGCGCCCGCTCCCCGGCTTCCGCAGCCGGCCACGCAGTGCTCTCCGCTCCAGTCTGGCGGCCCAGGGGGTTCCTCACAAGACCCTAGCGGAAACCTGGGCCTTGGTCCCGCGATGCTTTCCAACCTGAGGACCGAACGGCTGGCCAGATCTCACCCAGCCCACGATGCTCCCGCCCGAGCTAACTCCTCCCGTCAGCTATTCCACACCCCGAAATCCCCCACAGACTAGGGGAAACTGGCAGGTGGGGAACTGAGAATTAGGTATGGCAATAGCCCCAGAGGGAGGGAAGACGTGTATCTCCACTGGCGGAGGGGTGAGTTCGATAGAGAAGAAACAGCAGAAGTGCTCAAACTGCAGAGAAACCCCAAGGAGGATTCTACTGCAGAAAACACCCACAAAGAGGCCATGACAACTGGCAGGTGGAGGAAGCCGCCAAGACCAACAGAAGGGGCATTTTCCAACTCCTTAATGACTCCATTGCAAGGTTAAAGTGGAAAACACTCAACAATTTCTCCCTAGAACAGCATGCGGTGCTTCCCCTCCTCCAATGGAGAGGCTGGAGAGCCGTCAGTTAAGAGAAGAAATGAATGGAGGTCATCCCGGCCCAGAAACGGAAAAAAAAAAGGAAGACGAAAAGTGGAGATTGAAAAATTGGTACAATTTATAAAAGGTGATCCAGAGTCCTGTTCAGAGTTCCCTTCAACTCAATACATTGAAGGGAACATGTAATGGAAGAATTGTAGCATGCTGGCATCCTGTCAAGTCTTTATATATATAAAAGGCCTCCCTTGCTGGGAGAGGAAAAAATAAAAATACATTTTATTTTATTTTATTATTTTTTGTGACAGAGTTTTACTCTCGTCACCCAGGCTGGAGTGCAGTGGTACGATCTTGTCTCACTGCAGCCTCTGCCTCCCAGGTTCAAGTGATTATCCTGTCTCAACCTCCAGAGTAGCTGGGATTACAGGCATGCACCACCACGCCCAGCTAATTTTTGTATTTTAGTAGAGACAGGGTTTCACCATGTTGGTCAGGCCGGTCTCAAATTCCTGACCTCAGGTGATCCATCCGCTTCAGCTTCCCAAAGTGCTAGGATTACAGGCGTGAGCCACCGCGCCCAGCAAAAATACATTAAAAAAACAGCCTTCTAAGCCAACATGGTGAAACCCTGTCTCTACCAAAAATGTAAAAAATCAGCCGGCTGTGGTGGTGCATGCCAGTAATCTCAGCTACTCAAGAGGCTGAGGCAGGAGAATCGCTTGAACCCGAGAGGTAGAGGTTGTAGTGAGCCGAGATAGAGCCACTGCACCAGCCTAGGCGACAGAGCCAGACACCATCTTAAAAAAAAAAAAAAAAAAAAAGCCTTCCCTTTGACTTCCTGCCAGAAAGATACTTAAGACACTAGTAACAGTCCTTTTTCCTGTAGTGAAAAACTGCAGTACAGGAAATAAGGAATGAGAGGGAAATTTACCCATCAGTATACACACACACACACACACACACACACATATATATATATACACACATATATACACACACATATACACACCACACACACATACACACACACATATATACATATATATATATATATATTTTTTTTTTTTTAGAG